CAACCCGTGCTCACTCACTTGCTCATCATGTCGTCAATCTTCGAGTATGTGCCGGGCAGGCCGAGCGTGCTGTTGAGGAACTCCTGTCCTTCATCCATAGCCTGCTGCATTGAAGACTTCACTGATCGGAGCCAGTCAGCGCCAGGCGAAGAGTCGCCATTTGTAGAGTCCAGTGTGTCATTTACAAACACACCAGTCAGTGATGCACTAGCATTGTGCGTTGCACTCAGGGTCTGTATCTGGAAGAGACAACAAAAGGATTCGGTTGCCGGGAAACACACATCTCATTCAATTGCTTTGCCAGAGATAAAGAGCAATAAAACTCAAGAAAGAACAAGTTTCAGGATCCTCAAACTCAACATCCTCAAAGCTCTTCCACAGGTCCTTTCACTGCCTCCCCATCAGAAGGAATACAGGGAAAAAGAAACGACCAAGCAAAATGACTTTTATGCAGTAGCGATGTGATAGAAACAGTGCGAAGAAGAGTAGCCGAAAGCAACACAGTAGAATGCATCACCTCATACACACAAAGGAATGACAAAAGCGTCTACAGTCACACCAGGAAACCGTACTAACCCTTGCAAGCAAAAAAAATTAAATTTTCACCCAACAACTCGTTACTTGTGTTCCTTGGCTGTCTATTGTTGTCACAGTACATCCCACTCTTGTTTAGTTTCTTCTCAATTGCAATAAAAATACTACGGGAAGAACTTTGAGGACATTGTCGTTGATTGTGAGGAGCCTGAAAGCTTGTTCTTTTCTGAAGTTTCATTCAACTGCGTAGCCTATCCACCAGAAGGGTTATAGCTTATAACAGAAATATTCAGTTCAAGTGCAGGCAGGCATAGTGGGATGGTCTAAGACCATGATTGAGAAACAGAGGGTACCAGGTTCAAGTCCTGCTTGGAAGCGGAAGGAATTTTTCCAGCCGTGCTGCGACCCACAGTTAATTGGGAAGTCGTGGCCTGGCACGAGGGTAACATGGATGCAGCTAATGGGATTTCGGTCTTTGACCACTTGGTGGTGGGTCTGATCTACTCACCTCCCACCGTTTAGGCGCTGCATCTGCGCCTTGATCCTAGAGGGTGGTGGCGTTCCCACGGCGGATGCGGAAAACTTGGCTTCCCGCCGAGTCTCACGCGAACCGTGAAATTTAATTTCTTCAGTTCAAAAAGTCTCCAGCACGCTGGTGAGGTTCAAATGTGCGTACGCCATGTAGATGTTTAAACACCAACTGCATCAGGCGCACTCGGGGTGCAGTAGGTGGGAGCTTGCAGCCTCGGACACAGGCACACTGCGGTTCACCCACTCAACAGCAAACTCCATACTGTGTCTCTTTTCGTGCTAGGATCTGAGGGTATTATTCATTACTATTATTTCTGCCTATCAGCGTCGGCATCAGGAGAATGAATACGCCAGGCTCCCTGGCTTTCGCTCAGGCTCTGAGGGTATTGCCATACAACAGGTATGATGGTCGGCTTACTTGGGCGTTCCAGTGCTGGCCGGTGACGTTGCTTGCATTCATACAAGACAGCAGCTCACAGACCATCTCTGACGACAAGGTCAGTCCCTCCAGCAGATTCTCATAGTACTCTGACAAGTTCTTGGACTGCGCATAGTCCTCGCACAAGCCAGTGATGTCCGTATTGTTCGTGTCGGTGGCATTCTCAGGTGACAAGTCGACATTACGCATACTAGACTCGTCCAAGCAAAGCTGCATCAAACAGATCAAGCATGACCACAAATCTGTATTAGACAGACTAAGTATTATCACAAAGCTGGGTCAGACACACCAAGCATTACCAGAATCGGGTTAGATGCTCCCTCGTGACGACATTAAGTAAGACTAGCAAAACGACTCTACGCCACAATAATTCGCACAGTATATCATCACACGTGATAGAAGGCATCATTATTACTATTGCCGTACTTCACCGGGCATGCAGTTGTAGCCGTAACTAACCTCTGTGATATTCGTATCGGATGAGAACATCTCATTCGCCTCCTGCATGTGCTGATCCAGCACGGCTCTGAGTGCATCGGCAGCATGCGTCAGCCGTGCCGCCAGGGCGCTGAGGTTTGCAATGGCAGGGCTTGCTGACGGAGCAAACTCGGACAGATTTCCGAGCAGGCGCTCCTCTTGCTGTACTTGATGTTCGAGCAGCGCAGCATCAACTCTATAGGCAGTAGACAATAAGTGAAGAGGTTAGCATAGAGGATTCATTCAAAACTTGCCAATGATAACTGTTTAGCAGTGCGTGGATCCCCAGTGCACCTAGGAAACACAGCCAGTACCTCTTCGCTATCTGCATGGTGTCAATACCTGGTACAGTCAGACCTCTTTTATCCGGTCCTCTTTCATCCGGATCCCTCGCCATCCGGAAGGAAATCGTTGGTCACCGATTTACAGCACGTGTCATGCATACGTACAGTATGTGTGTTCGACTATGCCGGTATCCGGTTCCCTCGCCTATCCGGATATTTTGTGGAAAACGGATGTGTGCGAGGTCTGACCGTACCGCATCTACACTCCTGATGCCTTCTTACAAGGACACTGACACTGATGGTGCTGATATACTGTTTGACTGTGTTGGTTGGTACAGCGAACACTTCTTAACGAGTTCAACCCCCCCCCCCCCCAGACATACAATACTCAGTTTATACGAATGCCAACTGTATGTAACTGCACGCTGAACGGTGCAGATTTGGTCAAAACAGAGGTGTACAATATTTACATGTACTCCGGAAAATGTGGTTTAAAGAACTGGTCTTACGGTTTTCCTTTGTCAACATAGTCGGCCAAACATTTGCCTCTTCCGACCAAAGTCCTGTTCATACTGCGCACTGTTGATGACACGTAGTGATCAAGCTGGACACACATTCAAGAAGTGCAGACATGCAAGTCACCTATGCATGTAGAACTAGAGACGAAGATCATCTTGATGTTCTCAATGTGAGCTGAGTGCTTCAGGCTAGCAAGCAGTAGATCAGTACAATCATGCAGATGAACTTAAGATTGGGCACCCCCACACCGCTACACTGCTCGCGTACTACCAACATTACCAAACTCCCCAGAATGCACCTGTCGCTACTCACTTTCGGAATTACGCCACTTTCAAAAATGCGACATTACCAGCTCTGTCCGTCCTTCTGAAAACACGTTACAATTATACACATTGTACCCTAGTAAGTCTTTCCTGATTCCTATAGTACAGGCTGGGCTCCAGGAAGTCGTAATACATACCTGCTTGAGGTCTGCGGTGACAACTGGGCCCACATCGTTCAGCGCACTCCGAGAGTTGAAGCTCGCCAGCATGGCCACGACGACGAGCGTCAGTGCTCCCGCGGCAAGGAAGAGCATGGTGGCGGCCGTGAGTACGGCGTCGCGTGACCAGCCGGTGCGCGTCCGCTGCTCGTCGGCTTTCCGCCGCGCGTACGCCTGCCACACGGCGCCGAGCATGGGGAGGATCAGCGCCAGGGCGAATACAACAGCTGAGCAACAGTAAAAGCACGCACATGCATAGAGTTAATGATAGCTTGGGTACGGGATACGTGCTACTCTTTTGTTGTTGTTGAGAACTTTGAAACTCCACTGTAGCCTTGTTATCTGTCTAGGGCTGCAACAGGTAGGAGTTTGATCGGGTAACGAGTTCGGGTCTTTCTATCCGGGTAGCATGGGTACCGTATCAGGTATGTTTTTGACATAGCACAAGTACACTGGTACACGGCATTGCATGAGACGGATCACCACAATGCGTTCGTACAGTGGGTGTGCACTTGCGCCACTTAGACAATTGCATAGCAAACACATAGCCAGGGCTGCACTTCTTACATGCACCGTTGCGAAAGCACTGTACTCAAACTACCCGATCGAGTTCTCAGGCGCAAACTGATACCCGAACACCCGCTCTAAATACGGGTAGCACGAGTACCCTACTACCCGACGGCACCCCTAACTCTTTCCACTAAACCTCCAACCCGTAACCCACGAATAGACCTCGGCTAGACCATGTACAATGATTGTTTCCAAGGCGGTTCGCATTTTTCAAAGGGTTGGAGGTTATGTGATACGTACTACTCAAGAACCAAGTACCAAGTACATAGCGTATATAGTTGACAGCATTGCCGTTTTCAGACCAGCTGTTCGGCAGCACATCGAAAAGGAGAGGGAAGAATGCAGTCAAGCATGATACTAAAAAAAACTCTTCTAGGAGAGCATATGACTATAATGGCAGCACAACCAGGCCAGGCTGGGCAGACTCCATTCAGGATCTCTGCCATTTTCACAAACCGTGAAATTTCATTGTGTATACATGGGAAACGAGCTCACTTCTAGCCAGGATCCCAACTGAATCAGTTTGAACCCCAGCTGGCTGCACTGGTCAGTTTGGTATGACTTTATGTATATTATGCACAAGTGTTCTGTTTGTTCGTGTACATGTGCATGCCTTAGATTCCGAAAGTTGCCTGTTATGAGCCCCCCCCTCCCCCCCTCCCCCCCCCCCCCCTCCGCGCACATGTATACATCTGTAGTGTAACTGATGTGTGCGCGCGTGTGTGTGTGTGTGTGTGTGTGTGTGTGTGTATGTGTGCGCGCGTGCCCGTGAGTCCACGCAAATCACCTCAACGTACACGCAATGATAAAGGCTGATGTGGCATAACCAGCAGCGGCGGATGCCACTGCACCGCTGGTCAAGTTGCCATGGTAGTACCTGCATGTATATACACATATACACACATATACATACATATACACATATATATGGCATACACACATTATATGCAACAGACAAAGACACATACGCATAAACACATACACAGATGCATACCCACCCACAGAGAGGCACATGCACAGACACAACAACACGCACACACAGACATACCACGCACACGGACACATAGGAGAGCACACATGTGTCATTACTATCAGTCAACTGCTTGTATGGCAAATGGGGGGGGGGGGGGGGGTAAATTAAGCCTAAAACCCCTCTCAAAATTAGTTTTACTGGACCAAAGGATGTGCAGAAAACCAACCTACTTACTTGAATCATAGAAGGATACAACATTCTTACTCTCAGGACTCAACAATACATGACTAGCCAACACTGTCCATGACTGTACTATGAGTGTGACTATGACCCATATGACTCTGAGGCATTGACACTAAAGTAATAGATTGTCCTACATTGTACATACATTCCTCTGCTTTGAGTCCTTGTCAAGTACCACTCATTGTGCATTGCTTGGGGTCTTTACCTCACTGGTATGGTCAGGCACCAAGGAGTCAAGGACATTACCAGGTATCTGATAGTGCAACCTCCTGTGGATATGCTTTTCAGCTGGAGCTCCGGAGGTAAGCACATAGTTGAACATTCCGGCAGTGACACGCAGAAAGCAAGGACTCTACATGTACTTGAGATTGGGATTCTGGGTCTGCAGGGTGCCACACATTACTATTCTGCGCTATACTATTCAGTGCTAATCTAACGTTATTGCAACACACTCACATTGTCAAGTGGGAACACATGGGGGGGGGGGGGGGGCAACATGGATACAACTATGATAAGTGGGCTTGGTGAGTGTACCAGAGGCCATGGTCGTGTGGGAACTATTGTACCCCCCCCCCCCCCCCCCCATAACTGTGGCATCTCACTCGGCATGGTTTTACATTCTGGGCTGATGCCTGTGATGGCTATTATAGACCAGCTTTAGGTGGTGGGGTGGAGCATTTCAGCATTTTGTCCTCAGCAGGAGTCCATGCTGTGGCACTTGGCAGTTTCTTGGTAACTGTCAACAACCTGCCCAGCTGAGCTCAGTCCATCGCTCACTTCATGGTTTTCATCTCTACTGAGTCTTTTCAACTTCTGAGAGCATAGCGTCGCTATCATGAGGACCTGACACCTGCTTGTGCTGCAACAATGTCACTATGTGCAGCAGGGTTGATGCAAGTACCACTCATCTGAATACTAGACTAGGACAGTGTAATAGACTAATGGTACACACATCACCTATTATCCATGTTGATTGAATGGAAACTGGAGAACTGGGACGGGATCTACTTGTACTACTAGCACTCAGTACAAGTCACAGGTAGCACTAGTAGTAACTGTTGGTATATAAATGTCCATGCAGCTTAATACCAATGCAAGAATTTTTTTATAAGCCCTTCAAGGCGCTAGCCTAACTGGCTAAGGTGACACGTGGGAGGTCGATCAGACGCTCACGCCCTCGCAAGGCTACCACATGCATGATGCACAACCAAGAAACGGTACAGACCTAGACGTGGATGGGTCAGTAAATCCTGACTTTGGGTCTGACAAAAACATCCATACATGTACTACTAGGATAGGATAGCTAGGTACAGGCTACAGACTGAAATAATAATTAATCATGCTTCATCCCGGTCGATCCAATCGGTAAACCATTAGGACAAACGAATCTCATCAACTCAGCCATAACAAACACGAGTGATCGCAATGCCATTGCAAGCCGGCCAAGGTCTTCGCCGGTTGATACGAAGTGTCTAAAGTTACTCCTCGATGAACCTCTGTCCATCGACAAACGATCGACAGTACATTTCGCTCGCATAAAATGCCCCGCTCGCCGCGCTCGTTCATAAAACAACATCACTGCCGCATGAACACCCTCTCACGCCTCAGATGTCGACAAGTGTCAAATGCAAACAATCAAGCAGAAATGAAAGAAATCCGAACTCTCTTTGCGTTGGGCAAATAATTGCCAGGTTGTTATCATGGTCATCGTGCTACTCAGTACATCTACTCACCAGTCTTGAAGCAGCCTTCGTACACTTCCATTGAAAGGAAGGTCGTCGTCGTTCAGCACTGCCGAGCGGAAAAACGCTCCGGGTCGACTGGCGGACGGCACGCTGTAAGCGCTGTCCACATCGCAAGTCGACTGCACACTCAATGATGAGAGCGGCACGGCCATGGCACCCGCGCCTCCGCCTGCAGTACCTTGCGACGAGGATACGAAGCAGTTTCCATTCCTATTTCCTTCGCAGGAAATTCCTTCCGACGTTGCCATTGCAGCAGCACAGCGGAGCAGCAAGGCAATAGAAATCCACGCCAGTCCCATTGTCGTGTGACGTGAGAAAGGCCAACTGCTGTATTGTGCCCGACCTAGATCATTAATTTTTTGGCTGCGAGAGAGGAGAATTGAAGCGTTTGAACTAAGGGACAGCAATGATATTTTCAGCAATAGCGGCGGCAAGAATAAATCAATCGCCGATTGATATCCCGCGCTAGCTCCGCGTCGTGCGTTCACTGGCGCTCACTGGTGGCATCAACACAAGAAGCCTGCAAAAAGGCTCGATATGACATGGATTGAATGAACGGAGTGCCCGATCGAAACTGCGCGCAAAGACGTTGTGCAGATCACACGGCCGTGCACAGCCGAGCCACGATGTAATGACGACACAGCGCCTGTCTAGGCGCTAGGTACTAGGTAGAGATCTAAACACTGACAGTCTGCAACACGGGA